GGAGAAAATGAAGGCAGTTCCCCCCCAAAAAAAATTTATAAAATAAAATTTTTGAAAAACAAGAACATTGCAAAAACATTTCAGTCACGCTCACAAATATACTAAAGAACCTCCTCAGTAGGATTTCATGTATTCTTCATACATATAGACTACAGAGATGAGAAAAAAAATGTTTTTGTTTGTTTGCTTAAAAGGTTTGGGTAATACATAAAATCCTCTTGAAAATGTGTTTTTATTCAAAGAAAGCAAACATACAATTTTGGACCTTTTGAAGCATGTTTACAGAACTAGAGTATGCAGGTACAATTTGTCCCAAAGTATCATAAAATGGCATTATGACCTACTTTTTATGCTTTTCGGGTTTAAAGTAGATGCGTAGGTCATCACAAATGCTGGTCCCACAGCAAGATGTGATGAAGTTTCATGGGCTTTGATATAATGCTGGCATAATAAACCAGCCAACTGTAGAGGGCAAGTGACATTCCCAGCACAGCTCTGTGAGAGTGGAAAACAACAATCATCCAACTCGATTCAATTTGCTGTTTGTAAACAAATCTGCGTAGACTAGGCTTTATTCAGTTTAATCTCAGGGAAAATTTAAGAAAGTTTGTAAAATAGTTCAAAATAATAATAAAAAAAATAGAGCTTTTTGCATGATCACAATATTGTGTGTTTAGTGGGATTCTAAATTATGTCACCGATACCCAAAGCTTGAGATGTTGTCTCTTCATAAAAAGTCTCCAGATGTTTGCTAAACATTAGACCCCATCAGATTGGAGACTCTTTCATCAGCTCTGTTTAGATATTTAGTTAACCTGATTGGCTGAAAGAGGCATAGGTGGTGGGAAAAAGGAGGCGCAAGGTTCAGCTGGGCTGGATAGCAGTTGGTGAGGAGATTAAAAACACAATAATGCACACGTACACATTCATGCACACGCAAACACACACTGTGAGCTCCCTCAGGTGAACAGGTGCAGTCATGGTTTGTCACAGATGCCCCGCTCAATTCGTCAGCTGCCACTCCTCCTGTCCACCTCGGGTGGGTTAACACAACACAACCTCTACACAAAGACACACACACTCATTACCTCGGTTCATTCTCTAGTCCTGTAGTCCACTTTAGCAGATCATTTTGCTCTGTGTAGTGGCTCCAATGCATGCACGACAGTGGAATGATTCACTGCCACTGTTATCGGTTTGCCGTCTTTTACCTCATTTTTAAACTTAAGGAATACATTACCTCTCCATTGTTTTACCCAGTGTTCAGCTTAATGCTGATGGTTTGCTAGCATTAGCCTGTGAGTACAGCTCTCATCCTTTCCTCTTTGGGAACCACAGCATGTGACAGAGGGACATTAATCACCGGCCTGGGTAATAAAGCGAGAAGGGACGGGCTTGTAGGGCCAGAGGGCAGGTGTCTCAGGGAAGAAAAGAGTGTTTAGGGAAATCACACCGTGTTTTATGATACACACTGATACACAAGAGAACTTTTACATTCACAAGTTTCAGTCTGCACAATTGCACATCACATCAAACCTCAGTCATTTGCAGCAAGATATTAATGTCTAATTGTTGGTAGGAATGTCTCCACAAGCACACAAAAGTGTGTAGAGTTTAATTAAACCTTTTTTTTTGACACCAGAGATGTAATATTTAATTCCAATCAGGAATTGAGGTCAAGTGTCTTCAGTAGAGTTGCCATGATAGAATAGTCGATAGTTCTTGACTCCTGATCAGGGGATTCAATCAGAGTGACACTTGCCTTAAAGCAAAGCACTTTTGTGGTTTCTGATTACATTATGGAAAAGAGTTTTGTGCTTTCTGAGGAACTTTAAACCAAATTGTAGCCAGCTAAAGTCAGTACCTGTCATTTCAGTTTGAATAAAGAATAAACACTGGAAAACCCATATATCAGGCAGTTATATACAGGTTACAAATAAACCCCAATAAACCTTTGGAATATTTCCATTATTATTTTTTTACTGCTTGTCATTCCTTTCTCAGCAGTTACCTTTGTGCTTAAGTTCTCCTGGTTGTTACCAGCTTAGTGGGTTTTTTTTTTCTTTACAGCCTCCTTTAAAAGAACAGGGGGTGGGGGAAATGCTGTGACAAATGTAGTGAAGCATCTTCCTGCTGTTACTCTGTTATAGTCAGAGGCAGACAGCAAAGGAGGCCATTATCAAGCTCTTTGCACATGCACCTTGTTGTTTTTATGTTTTGTTACCGAGACAGCAACTGTGCTCTCGATGAGAAAAAGTGAATGAGAAATGACCATAACACTTATTCGTTTGACATGTTAATGAAGAGTTCTTTTCAATAGTAAGTCCACAGCATGGAAGGTAATGGAGCTCTTGTAATATTACTGCTTTTATTAATCATCATCTGCAGGAAATTAAAATTAAAGAACGAGCCAAATAATTTGTCTCAGTAACCAGTGCCCTAAACCAGATTATTGGCAGGGAGCTGTATTAAGTTTGGACAAATGATGGCATGTTTTAGGGTATCTGTCTGAGTAATTTATCTTGCACCACTGAAGTGCATTTGAAGTGCATGTAAGAGCAGAGGAACTAAGGAGGAAAAAACAGCACATGCCCCCACCACCCAAATCATCATAAGCAAATGTGTCCTTGGTGGAGGCCTTCGCTGCCCATTCTAGAGAGCTGGTTGAGCCAGAGTGAAAATAAAGGAGAGAGGGAAGAAGAAAGAGAGAGAGAGGGAGATGAATGTCACCCCTGTTCTCATATGTCATATTGTTAGCCATAGATATGAGGAGAGTGCCTCAAGGTTGTACGTGCAGGAGAGACATGAATAATCTATCAGAGGTTTTCTCCGACTAAATAGAGAGAAATATGTCTGCATGGATTATTTATGCTTTAATATGCTGAATGGACAATCACCTCGGAGAGCATGAAGACATCGTCGGGGCAAAGTTAATTGTTAGTGTGTTTGTGAGTGGGTAGGTGAAAGGCAGCAGTTGTCAACAGATATGCATTGTTAGATGCCAGCTCTGTTTTTGTTTTTTTGTTTTTTTTTAACCCTGCTGATGGATTACAGTCATTGTGTGCTCTGGTTGAAAATATTATTCAAGTTTGTATTTTTCTGTGCAGTCTTTTGACTAAATCAGCAATGTCTGCGTTTTGATATCTCACTTATATTATTTACTCCAATCTTAAATCACTTTCTTAAAACCTCAGACAGGCATCACTCTGTCGGTGTGTGTAAATCCATTCATCCATCATCAACACCATTTAAATGTAGTCCATTTTGTATTGGTCTAGTCTCGCTTTTCCTGCTCACCTTATTTCCTCTGCAGATGACTGCCTTGACACGGGAAATGTCAGGCTCTCCCTGGCAGCGCTTTTTGGCTTCTTCAAACATTTGTGAAGTGTTAAGCTCATCTCCACAGCTTAGGAAGGGCAGTCTCTCGGGAATCTGTGCTGCTGACCTGCAACATGGCAAAGACGGCCAAGCCAAGTGCACTCAAGCACATCCACTCTGCTTGCTCATTCGCATCAACGAAAGATTGTATTAGTCCCAGGTTTGTGGTCTTTAAAGCAGCACTTTCACCGTGCTGTAGACCGTTGTGCATTGCATAATGGAGCTGATGGGGTAGCTTTCCAGTTCCTAACAGCAATTCTGTCCTTCAGGAGTCAGTTGAGAATAGTTGCTCAAATGCTGCACGGTTCTAAGTAGCCTTGTTGTTAGTCCAGTAATAGCTTATCTTTGTTTTTACATTTGCAAGAGCAATTTGTAGCTTTGTGTTGATAAATTCTTCAGAATTTAAAACCTCTGATTTTACTATAAAACATCAAAATGATGGAGTGCATTTGTCAAATTCAAGTGTACAAGAATAAAAATTTATTCTCAGTCTTATTTAAGAAGAGCAAAGTAGGTGGAAATTAACTGGTAGGGTAGAGTTACCTCATATCTACTAATGTAACACATCCGTAGATATTCTTAAATTCTTGTTTGAAAAAGCTAAAATCAACTAGCACTGACTGTTAGCTGTTTTGCCACTATGAAGATATTTTTCTAACATGTTTACAGTGACATCACATCTGTCTACTAGATTGATTGATAACATTGCAGAAACATACTATGATATCCATTAAGACCTGTCTTAATATCTTTCTAATTTGTCACTTTATAGTGGCTTTAGGATTTCTAATTTTTGTTAGAAATAAGGCATAAGCTTCAGTAATTTCATTTCACATTGTTTGTCAGAATTGTGTCTCTGTATCCAACATACAAAAAACCTTTTGTGCCACACAATGTTTCCTTCTTTCTTCCATCAGGAGCAAAAAAAAGAAAAATCTACTTTATTTTATTTTATTTTTTTAACCAAGTTTTGGATCCACTTTACACAGGCACAAACACTCCCATAATCAGCCAAAGTGTGCTTTCTTCTGAATAGAGATGAAAGAGAGAAACACACACTTTTATGCACACATATGCACGCGAGAGGCAACAACAAGGCACGCACAAATAAACAGGCAGAAACACACAGGGAAGAAGCACAAGCCATTTGGCACAGGCTCACTATCTAGGGAGGGCTTCAAAGCCCACTGACATGAATTTATGATAACGCCACTGTGCCTTTGCCAAACCTGAACTGTTGTTGTTTTTCCCCTCACTCCCTTCCCATCTTTTCTGTATGCTCTGCCATCCCCTTGATCAGAGCTTTGGAAAATGCAAGCAGGTGTCCCCCAGTTCCCTTGGAAAGCTGTGTGCCTTTATGTGTGCTTTAGTGCACATGTGACTGTGTTTATATGTGTGCTAAGAATGGGACATCCTTTGCTGGCTTTCTTCTTTTTGGGGGGGTTTCTTTGGGCTTTTGTTCTATTTCTCTACCTTTCACTCCTTCTCAAGTTTACTTTGGTTTTTAATGCCAGCAGGATTTAAGCACCGTCTCATTGTGCGTTTTAATTATTTTATATAATTTTTTGACATTAATGTTGCTTTCTTCTCCATCCATCCCCTCCCTTTGTTTTTGTCTGCAGATGAGGATTGTTTAAATTGCACAGAGGAGTGCAGAGTACTGGGTCATTCTGACCGCTGCTGGATGCCTCAGTTCCCTGCAGGCGGAAACCAGGCGGAAGGTGTCGACTACCGCAACAATATGTTTGTGCCGGCCGGGATGGAAGCAGTTGCCGAGACAGAAACTTATGAGACTGTCAACCCCAACGGCAAGAAAACATTCTGTACTTTTGGCAAGGAGAGACGTGACCACACCATCCTTGTTGCCAATGTCAAGCCCTACCTAAAAGCAAAACGTGCCCTCAGCCCCCTGCTGCAAGAGGTACCCTCAGCCTCCAGCAGTCCAACCAAGGGATGCTCCACGATGCCTCCCTGCTCTGCAGTAAAAGGCCCAGCAGATGGGGCTGAGGGCAAACCTCCCCCAGCCAGCTGCTCTGTCCACTACGGGCCACCTGATGGTCAATACCTGTCACCTACTAAACAAACAAGAGACCAAGGGGTGTACCCATCGTTGCCTCCTTCAGACCCAGTGGCCAAGGTGCTCGCAGAGGCCCGCTCCAGGATCAGTCAGGAGGCAGCAGGTGAAATGGAGTGTGTCCTGGAGCAGGCGGAACCAGATTCAAGCCGCGATGGAATGGACGCTGACCAGGTGGTGAGAGACATCGACAAACTGTTGCAGGACTGCAGAGAAAGTGAGGCCACTGGCACATTGAGAAAGTGACTCAAGCGACTGCAACATAGGAATTGTGAAGATAAAACTTGGGGTTTGTTGCTCTTCTAACAACTTTCATGCCAAAACTGTCACCAAAACAAATTGAAAAGGTTGAACCTCTCTGGTCCCCAGAGCGCTTTTCACTGTATTTGTTGTAGAAAAAGTACAGACACTGGACTTTTATTACGTCAGTCATATGGCAACCAACAAAATAAGGAACTGACATCTGACTTTTTCTGAATTTCTAAACTTTTTTTGGATTCTTAAGAAAATTTCAGGGGGTTAAGCCTCTGGCACCTCGTAAGCTCCTATCTAAGTGCCCACCAGCTCATTCGTGTGTTGTTCATGGTCTATCGTGAAATCTTACATATCTTTTTAAGTGTGCGTAGGTGGATTTCTGTTTTGCGTGTTGGACATTGAAACTGAATGGCAAAGGACTACTTATGGTCAGACCAGACAATCGATGTGGAAAAAGAGAAACAAAAGCTGATCTAATCGGACAGTGAAAGACAGGAACACAACTTTACCTGTTTATTTTGTTTGTTAGTTTTTTATTAAGTGATAAACAAAAAGTGTAGCGTGTGATGGACCAGATCTGTACCTGAAGAGATTTCCTTTTAGGGGGGTTGCTATGGACCAGTCGGATCTGTTTCTGTCGGATTTATTAACAGTGTAACCATGTCTCACCCGTCATTTTGTAACTACATGTGTAAGCTGTGTCTGTCTCACACCTCTATTTAAATGTTCATGTTGCTCAGCAATGTAGTCGCACGCACCGACGTCATCACATGTCCACTACCACTCTGCATACACACACGGCAGGACATTGACACGCGCTGACGCTGCACCACACGCAGAAACACGCAAACAAATGAATGCTCACACACAACTGCCCATCTGTGGATTTGTCTTATACATGTACACCATCAGCTTTTAGTCCCTTGTGTACAGTGAATTATCATGTGTGTGACTATGCCTTAAGGCAATCACGTTGTATAAAAAGGGACATTTCTTTCCTCAGCTGTGAAAAGATAATATCTATATGTTTATATAGATGACTGTATGTATGAATCCATGTATAGTGTCCAAATATCAGCAAAATATTTATACATTTTATAAGGAGAAAAAAAGGAATTTGAAGTGAATAGTGTCCTGGAGTTGAGGTCAGGTGTGAAGCATTTCAGGAAAGAACTGCAAAGGACACTGCCATTGTTTCCAAGACAAATATCCAAAAATATAACAAAACAAGAAAATGTCCCTTCACATTATCACTATACATAATATCATTGTATGTGTATATGTATCCAATTTAGATGTGTTTACATCAGAAAAACTGACATATTTTTTATTGATTTTACTGCAATTTCTGTGCATTTGAGCCAAATTGTTATGTGTACAAAAGCTATATTGTGTATTTTATTAAATTAATATATTGTTGTGTTGCAATATACATGGGCTTATATTGTATTTGGCAAAAGTTGCCTTAGTAGCTGTCGAACTCTGTGAGTTTGCTTTAGTTTGGGTTTCTGTTGGTGTTTTCTTTTTTTCCATCTCTATTCTGCATCTTTGCAGGCAGATTGGCCTCAGTGCTTTTGAGATGTCGCCTCTTTTTACCCTGAGATCCAGCTGGATCAAATACATTAACTGCTAGACGCTTAATGAGCCAGCTGATCTGGAAGACGATTCAAACCAACAACGAAAAAAAAAAGCAACAACAAAGGAGACAGTTTGACTATTTTTACTGAGCAAATTTTTATAAGGCAGCTATTTTCTTTAACAATAACAAGTCTGCATATTTCTGTTCATTCTGTTTCTACTTTCTTTCCCAAAAAAAAAAGAGAGAAAAGAAACCCGCCATATGGAAAGTGGAGTGGTTTCCTTGGTGATCATGAAACTGCCTTACTGTCTCTGCAGAGAGCTTGTTGTATCTGTGGAGCTTTGTGACTGCTTCTTAAGCCCTGGTCCACCAAAATGTGCATTTCCTACGAAGGACCAAAACAGGTTCTTTTTCAACAGTCTGCATTGTTTATGTATGTACTTCTTCTTCAATACATGTTGGAAATCTCATACTTTGCAGAGAGACTTATCTTAAATTCTATCCGAAGTTACTTTGGAACATCTTCGCTGTTTGGGTACATGGTTTGTATGACCAGGTGTCTTTGCATTCAGGATTTCTTAAAATAAAAAAAGAAGAAAAAAAAATATTTTTGAGAACTTTGGCAAGTTTCGGCCAGTCTGAAATACTGATGCAGGGTGCTTTTAAAAAAAAAAAAATCCCTTACAGTAAGGTAAACAGAACAATAGGCTACTTGTGTTCTGGAAAATGTGACCACAATCATAAAATGTATATAACCTGCAGCCATGACAGGAAACAGTGACTTATTGTGGCACCTAAATATGTTGGAAGTAGATTTGCCTGTTGTCATACAGGTAAATCACACCCATGTTTTTTGGATTTCCTTTGTTTGGGCATTCTATCATTCTTCTGTTCTGCATCATTTTGACTTCTTTGCATTTTGCTATTCATTCACTGACATCTCTCCCTTTTTGACTGTTTTCTCTCCTCAGAGGGACAAAGCAACTGTTACCTTTTCTCCTCTCTTTCATCTGAAAAGTATTTGGTTTAGATTTACCCTTGCTCTTTTTTGCAGGAGAAAAGCAGAATGGTGATTTTTAGACAGAGCTTAGAGGCTTTGACAGAGGAGCACAAATATTTATGCTTCTCTTCCTTTTTCAGAGGAAACTTTTTCTTCTATTTTCATTTAAATATCTGGATAAATCAAGCAAGCCTCAGATTTACATGACACAGGCAGCACAGATTTACATGACACAGGCAGCACAAACAGTTCACATTTGCAGCTTGCACTGAAACTTTGATCCAGCCAGGAATGCATCATACACACTCAATAACACCAGTGCATTTAAGTAACATAATGCTTAAATGCACTGGTGCATTTATTCATTTCATTTTCATAACCACTTAAAATGAAATAATTACTTAAAGGGAGGAAAAAAATACTACAAACGTTGATTTTGAGCCTTCTTTATTTACCCTAGTAATTTCTTTGTGTTGAACGACTTTGCCTCTTAGCTAGAGCCAGCAATCTTTCTTTGTGTTGCGTTCTTATTTGCTTGATTTCTGTACATATTGCCCATTTCCCTTCTTTCTCCACTTCAAACTCCATTTTGATGTCCTTCCTTTCTTTTCCTTATTCAAAACAGGTATGTAGAGGACATCCCAGGTTTCATTGTTTTCACTGTCGCTGTCACAATTCAAGATACTGTCCCCTCTGATGGTGTTCCCTTGCCCTGGCCTTTGTCTGCACATATAAAAACTGAAGGTGAAGAAATGTGCAGGGTCCAGTTGTGGAAAGGAATTCTCTAAAGCCATGGCCCCCTTTTCTCAGGCTATTTGCTGTTTAATAGAGCAGAGGCTGCTGTTCAGGGCCAACGCATAGTTTGGCCTCAGAAGTTGAGAGATTGAGCGTTATGTGAGGTCTCTCATTATTGTCTAATTATACACTGGCATCTTGCACTATTGGCAGTGCATTACTCAAGCCTAGAGTGTGATATTTTTTGCCCACTTGAGACTTGTTGGCTTTACCAAGCGATTAGGGAAGGGCCTTGTTGAATGTGGCTAACCACCTCTGGTCTATTACTCACACTGATGCAAGTGCACACAGACTCAGTCACTGCTTCACAAACAGAGACATATATGAGACAATATGCCTTTTTGTTTTGTTAAATTAAGCACCTGATGATGTCGGTGTTGTTCCCTCACCCACAGGGCCCCACACTGATAGCATAGGGCTCCACTTTACCATGAGCAGCTGGTGAAAAGACCAGAGACATTTTTATTTGTATGGATTATTTCTGCTATTGTCTAAAAGCTGTGTTCATTGTGATCTATCTGAAGTTAAAAAAGAAAAACAGTTAAAAGCGCAAATAAAAAGGAAATAACCAAAATGTTTTTTCTCTTGTCCTTGTTTGACTTGGTGGAGGAATGATTAGTCATGGCTCTGATTTAATTTCTCTTTTCCCAGGAGAAGGCCTCGCACACCCGATACTTCTTTGCTCTCAATAATCTTTACATTGCCAGTATTTTAATGTCAACTTGAATTGCATTGTTTTGTTAGTAAGTGCCGGCTCACTTTAAAAAGGATTTGCATTTTTTATTTAAAGTGCTTGTTTTATAACACATGGCAGTTCACAGTTGTATGTTTGCAAAATAAGAAAACGTAAAAATACAACAAAGCAGTGATACTTTGTGTTGCATTCAAATATGAAAGGTTTAATGCTTAATTGGCTTTACACAAATACACGGAATTGAATGCAATTAAACATATGCCAGGGCCACAAACACATACATGCTTTTCTCTTCAAATCTTTTAGTGATAGCCAAGAGTTGCAAGAAAAACATAATTTATGCCTGTTAAAGGCAATGGATGCTGAACAAAGGAGCATATTCAAAGTGTGACCTTCTTTAATATGTTTAGCTTCCCAAGAGGAAAAGTTTATTTTTGTTGCTTTTGAATGGGTTTTTAATCACCTGTGCTCCCCAAGACAAAATGAAAAAGAGAAGATGACAATACACTAAGGTTCTGCATTTGAAATCGGGACCCATCATCCATCAACTTGGTTTGATTATGATTACACAAAAATATGGCTGTTTTCCTGTTATTCTGCTGTTAAAAGAGTAAAGTTTGTAACTTTTTAGCATGTAGTCTTGTAAACATTTACTATACTCATATCCTGACATTTCCAGGAACCTGGTGGTTCTATAAAGCCATAGACATTGATTTTTAAAAATTACATTCTATTAAAGGGATCTGAACTGTAATAGCTTACCTCTTGGCATCTTACTTTAGCAAAAATGCACTCTAACTTGTTCAGAAGACGGAAGCAAATGGCTAGTAGACTAGAGCTAAGACTGAAATGGAGGTCTGCTTTCTTAGGCCTTCTCTACACATAAACCTGATAAACTGACAAGATTTCTATGCTAATTGATCTTTCATCCATATGTAACCGCTGTTTAATAGCACTAAAAAACAACCAAAATGAAGCTTTTCAAATTATTCTTTTTGGCATGTGGACAATGGAAACTGGAGGTTTAGAAGTAAATGCATGACAGGCAACAACTAATGCAGCGCCGACATCTCATATGTGACTTTTTTTATTGTTTGACCTTGCAGTGATAGAAAGGTGACGTCTTTCACAGAGGTGCACTTGCACCAATATGTTGAGTTGCAAAGGAGAAAGTTCACTGGGAGGTCAACTCGATCTAGACATAATCTTACAACACATGATCTAGACACAATCTGGAAATGTTAGAAGTAGTTTAACATTTCTGTCCGTCCACACAGATGTTTAATTCCTAAAAGGAAGTCGTAGTTATTTTGAAGGATTGAGATTGATCGATATAGCTCTTAGCTTTGCCCCATACTGCCCCCTATGGGTTTGGCATGTTTAAAGCAATGCTCTGCAGTGTAATTTAGCGGGTTTTTGCGTAGGAACACTTTTTTTTATACAATTGTTAGAGTGGTCTTAACTAATTAAATGGACCAAAGTGGCGACATTAGGCAGAACAGATAAAGTGCTACTAATCAGAACAACTACAAAACATAAAAATGGAGCAGTATAAAACCAATAAAAATGCTTAAAGAAACAAAACTTTGCTCACATAAAGCTCTGTGACAAGCTGAATTTAGAAGTTTATTGGAAGGTGGCTAAATCCCTCTTTGATTGTACTCCCTCTCAACCTGGCCATAAGCTTTGAGCTGGAATGTTCAATTACTAATATTTATTAAAAAACGCTCTTAAAACACTGAAATTAGCTGCAGCAGCTAAGTCAATTGTTCATGCTTATAAAATTCAATGCCAAAATAATTCATTCAGCGACATCAAGGCAAATTATTCATGGAATAATTTATTATTTGAAGAAGACTCAATCAAATTAATTTTTATTTTGACCAGAGAGGGAATGTTTTACCCCTTGCTCGATTAACAATCCATTTGTATGTGTCAAGGGTTTCTTTTCCCTCTTTTTTTTTCTGTTTGTATCTAACTAGTCGCCTCAAGGCAGATATTAATTAAAAAGATAGCTGAGGCACTCCTACATAAAAACACCACTTCTAAGACTGCAGCAGATTCATGCTTGACTGGCTCGTTCTGGCCGGTAGTCAGAGTTTTCAAAAACCCACAGCATACCTTCGAGCAAATAACAGGCTGTCTTCTTGTACGTGTTCCTCACCTTCAACCAAAAACTTTACAGATCACACCACTCATTAAGAAAACCGCATGAAGGTGTGAAATATTAATGGCTTGGTTTGTAGCAGCTAGGAATGCATAGTGAGATAAATGCAACCCAAAGATGAGAAGATATGTATTTCAGCCCCACATGTCCGCAGCACACTCCATTCTAGAGTGACTCAGAGTTATGAAACTGAAACTGTAACCACAATGACAACGTTGCATACAGTGGTCATGTTTATTCATAAAACACTAAACTCTGCATGCAGTTTTAGGGTATGACATACTAAATGAATCTACTGCCTTGTTTAATTGTTTAGTGTCAGGTGAGCTCAGGTTGAGATTTCAGCTTAACAGTAGATGGGAAAACATATTTCTGCATTTTAATCAAGGTCCTTGATCCAAATAGCAGTGCTGATGGGATTTAATCAAGCACTGTTCTGTATTGAGCTGACTAAAAGGGCAGCTGGAGAGAAGATCATTTCAACACTAAGAGGAGAAGGTATTCATCATACTTTATTGTAAAAGGACATGAATTGTCCTTTCATTTGTGACAGTGTTCAGGAAGGTATAAAAAATGAGAATGTGTGATGCATCTCTATGAGAGGAAAACTATGTCTGTGTGAGATGAAGCTCAACAGAAAATTTGAATGCAAGCCTTTCATATAATTAAATAGCTAGTAAATAAATTGGACGACATTCAAAGGAAAGACTGGAGTTAAGTCTAGACAAGAACACTTTGGGCCAGGTAAAAAAAGCTCTTAGCTTTGATTACAATTAAACTGCATCTGGACAGGTCATTAGACCTTATGCAATATGG